TCTCTTCTCTTCTCTTCTCTTCTCTTCTCTTCTCTTCCCTTCCCTTCCCTTCCCTTCCCTTCCCTATCTCTGTCTATCATCTCTATTATCTATCTATCTATCTATCTATCTATCTATCTATCTATCTATCTATCTATCTATCTATCTTTTGTCTATCGTCTATCTATCATCTCTCTCTCTCTGTCTCCAGTATCTATCTTGCCCTGCTACTCTACAGGGCTCTGGGCCGTTTTCAATATTCCCATTAAAAGATAAAAACAGAGAGTCCGTCATACAGGCAGGAAAACATAGCAACCTGGGCCCATTATCCAGAACGCACACATCAGAGAACTGACAGATGGCTCAGGGTGGAAGTTTGCATGTGTACGTGTGTGTGATTGCAGCGTGTACTTTGGGGGGGGGGGTTACTTAAAAAACCAGACATAGAAGCAGGATAGAACGTACAAATGTGTCTTCCAAATCGATAATACCGTATTTAACAGCCATGTCACCGGTGTCAGTGTGTTTTGGAATCACTTAAAATTCAATCTCCTGTCTTTGCAAGAATAGGGAGGGCAGACTTCCTATAATGAGCATTCCTGTAAACTCATGAAAATATTATTTCATCCCCCTCTTAGGCAGGTATTATATTGTTGGCCTCCAAAAGTAAGAGGCAACCCGTTTATTCCAAAAAGGGGATCCCTTGAAAGGGGTTCTTCCTCTCTTCTTTGGACGTGCCAGGCTGGCTCCTCCTCAGGCCCCTCGCTTGCCACGGCGGTCCAAGAAGGCCCCCCTGCACCTGGGATGCCCCCATCTTACGAAAGAGGTCCAAAACATGACCAATTTGTGTCATTGTGCATGGTTGGGCTGGGTACCCAGAGAGAGAGAGAGAGAGAGAGAGGATTCTCTTTCCCTCCCAATCTTAGCCCTTAAGAGCGTCCAGTTAAGTTGGCTGGCAAAAGGAAGCGTGTCTTCACGTGGTGGGTAATTAACTTATGGAAGGGGGAGAAGTGGCGTTCTTTCTCTCTCTTTTTTTTTTTAAAGGATTAGACAGTCTTAGAATTTTTCAGTTCTTATTTAAACTTGAGACCAGAAGAACCAATGGTAAGAATCCAGGGGGGATCTTCTTTATTCAAGTATCCTCTGTTTTCACCTGGACAAGACAGATGTTTTAATTAAGAGCCAGCAGTCGGGGGCTAAAATCTAAGGACTATCCTCCAAAAAGAAAAAGAACCCCAGACATAGAAGTGGGTAGGAAAGCAAAAACTAAGGTGGACTGTGTAAATTCAGCTAAAATAAACCTAAACCCATTAATCTGATTATGCCCCATGTATTCAATACTTTTTCCTGCCGTCCCTTAGCAGTTGGCTGCCCATAGATGACGGTGTCTGGAAGCTAAGTAGAATCAGGCCTGGTTAGTATTTGGATGGGAGCCCACCAGACAATCCCCATGTTTTCAGCTGGGAAACTGAAAACATCTCCCAGGAGAAGGTCATTATAAACTGCTTCAATTCCATTGCCAAGAAAAATACAAGGATGTACCCATGGGATCACCAGAAGTCTAGCTTGAACTTGAGGGCATATTTTTAAATTATTTGTTATAATCCAACTGTGCCATTTGCCTGAATTTCTGAGCCTGGAGGTGGCCCCCACATTGTTGTGGGAAGTCATGTGGCCTCGGACCTTGAATTCAGATAAAACTTCTAAATTAGCCCTCGGCTTAGTTGGATTAGCTTGGCCTGTGACCCAAGCGCAGTTTGCCCTCGGCAGATGAAATAGATGTGCTCAAGGAGCACTTCTGATGGAAAGGTGGAGATTTCAGGAATAACCACAACATACTCTGCTCTTCCAAAGGGAGCCCAGAATTTCGAGTAAGATAATCCTGGTGGATCAGATCAAATGCCATGATGGCTACCGTCCATCCTGAAAGCACAGCTTCTCCAGCTGGGAGACAGCTGGGAGCCACCCCCTGGGGAGATCGCAGACACCAGCTCTCTCTCACGAGCCAGGGCAGGTGGAACTTTCATGAACTCAAGTCACACAACGCCCAAGGAGCATCCCCCAAGGGGATCAGCTTCTTCCCTTCCCTGAGTTAAGGTTATCACGCTAACCCTAACCCATTGCTGGGTTCCCATAACAGCCAAACAAGTCAACCACACGATGGTGCCTCAGGCATTATCCTAAGATAACATCTGGCTTCCTATATTAGAGGGTCGCCTGGTGCGTTGGTGGAACCCATCCTATGGTTCAGGGGGATTGGCAGTCACTGCATCCCAAAATGCACAATTAATGCCTAGTTGGGGGGCAGGGTCTAAGGCAGGGGAGCTGTGGTCCCATCAGGAGGGCCCTCCAGAGCCTCCAGGAGGAGAATAGGATGGAAGGAGGAATTGAGATAACCAGATGAGAGGGAGAGGTTGCTCTCGTCCTGTTGCAGGCTTAATCTCAGCCACAGCTGGTGCAGGAGCATTAGAAAGCAGAGATGCCCCCCGAAGGGGCTTTGGCCAGATCCCATGGGACCCTCCGTCCTTGGACCCTGGAGCACTTGAGATGTCTTGGACAAAGCTGCAGTCTCACAGCATCTCAGGGGCTGGAGGAGAGCCGTCTGCACAAAGGCAGGACAAGGTGAACTGAGCCGAGCCTGCAGAGGCTGGGTCCTTCCCCACATCAGCAAGTGACAGATGTGACCCCTCTCCAAATGCTGGGTCAAGCCAACACCATCTGCTCCCAGCAGCTGTTGGCACAGCCCGAGTCTGCCTGGTAGTGAAGGAGGAGGAGGAGGAGGAGGGAAGGGGAGCCAGAAGGAAGGGGGCGAGCAGGATTGTGCTGTGATTGTGCATCTTCCTGGAGCTTTACAAAAGGGGGGGGGGGATGGACAGCACAGTCCCGGTGAGTTGGAAGTGATGGACTGCCAGACAGCTGCCAAGGCCAGGCCAGTCATGGTCCTCTTGGGAGCTGTGGATCTGCAGAAGTCACAGGCGGTGAGAACAAATAAACTGGGTGTGGGGGCAGGGGGTTAAACTTTGCAAGAAAAACAGGAACTGGAATCTTGCAGGATTTAGCCTTGGATTTGGGATTTGTGCCTCCTGGAGCCCCTTCCTAATCCTAACCCTTTGAAGAGTGGGGGCTGGAAAAAGAAGGGAGCTTAGTAGCTCCTTCGAGGCCTTCACGTTTGA